TTCTTACTATTAATGTATTGCATTCTGAAATCAATCATATTGAATACATTTATATACCTTTACAAATAATGTTAGATGAAGACCTGACATTAAATTGGAAACTTGATGAAAAATTCAAATAAACGCAACAAGCTGTGTAATATGCAAAAACATCAAATCATTAATGTTTTACACACAAATCAAGTCATTTGTGTACAATGTCTAAAAATCACTCACTCTCCAATTGGATACACTAGGTATTTTATTTGGAATAAAAGAATAGTGGGAAAACAATCTCAACAGCAACGGTGAAAATTTGTCAAATGGATTGGAAAATATCCTTTTAAATTCTCTGATATATTATAAACTACATGAATGATCTATATTAGTTGCTTTTCTAGTATTCAAAACTTTAAAAAAAATATTGGTGAATTTAAATGTTGCATTTAAAGTAAAAAAATTGAAAGCGAAAAATGCATCAGTGCTGAAACACATAAGGAGTTATATATCTAAATTGAACTAAAGAATAATCCATCAAAGGTCAATTTTCCTGAGGGAGTTGGAACCTTAGTTTCTTAATCATTTCTGAATTTATGATTGGAAAATTTAAGAAAGGTACATGATGAATCATGTGAGTACCGAAGTATTAACTACTGAGCTGATGATTAACTGGGGACTAGTAGTTCGTCAGCAGCAGACCCAGTGCAATAAAATATTAATGTATGTAAATACGTTTAACTTGATTTTTGCACATATGTTTATACGTTTTATCTAATTTTTGCACATATGTCATGTATGTATTTACGTTTTAACCGGATTTTTGTTCAAAATATTACTCGATGATTGCACATGTTCTATATGTTTTTAATGAATATTGCATATATGTATTTACTTTTTATCTGATTATTACACATATGTGTTCATTCATTTGACCTGTTTTATATATATAAGCGAAAACATAAAAATAGAAAAATAGAATAGAAAAGATTATTTTAAGTCGAGTTACATTCAAACATTACAAACATAAGCTCTGTAGAGCTTTTTGCCGACATTAATAACAATAACAACACATATAATAATAAGACATATAAAACATACACATTAGACAAAAAAAGTAAGACAGCTATATTGCAATAAATAAAGTAAAACTAGTTCTAAAAGCTGCATGGAAAACTCAACATTAAGATCAAAACATTAAGATCTGCAGGAGCCACATCTGCATGAGTTGCCATTTCAGTTGTTGATCATACTTTTAAACTGGTTCAGGTTCGACTGCGCACGGATCGCGTCAGTCAGCTCATTCCAGAGTGTAGCTCCAGCATACTTTAATAAATGAAGTCCAAATTGTGTTGTTCTCACCTGTGGTACTTCAACAGTTTGTTGCTTTCTAAAAGGTAAATTTTTTAAATCAATAATATCATGGAGATACACTGGTAACTCTTTGTGTAATATTTTAAAAGTTTCTATTACCATCATTCGTAGAAGTCTTAATTTTAAAGAAGGTAAACCAGATTTAAAAAAAAGAGTTTCATAGTCACTACTAATATCTTCATAGATGAACATCAAGTCACGTTCTCGTATTTTATCCATTTTGTAAGTGTTATCCTCCCCACAAAAATGTCAAACCACAGGACAATAGTTGAAATTAGACATAATATATGAGTGATAAATAGTTAACATTACCAATTTTGATAGATGCTTTCCAATTCTTTTTAGTATATTTAACAGCCTTGATGTTTGTTTACAAATTTCAGAAATATGTTTTAAACTTAAGTTGATAATCTATTGTCACTCCCAGGAGCTTTACCTCAGTGTCACATAAAATTGCATTCCCATAAAAATTGGATTTAATATCCCCACTTTTTGATTTATTGCAAATTTATCCGTATTAGATTTCCTTTTGTAATTAGCAAACCAATTAATTAAAACTGCACTTTCCTTTTCCGAAGATTTAACTAATCCGTTTAGATCTGGTCCTGAGTGTGACAATGTTATGTTCATCTGCTTAGTGGTAAAATTCATTTTCTTTTACAAATTTGAAAATGTCTTTAAGAAAAATATTGAAAAGCACAGGACCCAAGATTGAGCCCTGCGGTACACCTTTGTTAATATTTAGCCAGGTACTAAAGTATGCACCAACTTTTACATATTGTTTTCTGTTCGACAGATAGTTGTCAATAAGATTTAGTGCATCATCTGACAGGCCATATGCCTTCAACTTTTATAAAAGTAAGTTATTGGGTAAGCAATCAAAGGCCGTCGAAAGGTCCATAAGAATAGCTGCAACATATAAATGTTGATAGACTGCTTTTTGTAAGTCCTCAATGACTTTTAGAAGTGCTGTATTACAGCCATAGCCAGGTCTAAAAGCTGACAAAGAAGGATGAAATATCTTACTAAAATATTCTATTAGCTGCTGGTATATGACCCTTTTAAAAAGAACTTTGACACTACCGGTAGTATGCTAACAGGTCTGTAGTTTCCTGCCTCTAACTGACTATTCTTTTTATGCAAGGGAACAACCTGTGCTTCATTTAGATGGTCAGGAAACTCTGAACTTAAGATGTAAATGATAACAAGTGAAATTTGTCGTTATTGTTTTAGTTTCCAAAGAGTTCTTTTTGGAAGGGCGATAATTTTGCTACCGGTTTGGCACTAAAGTATGATGTAGAACGTGTTTATAGACGTTCAGTTATTGTAAGTACACGTAAGCACATATACACAATTGAATAAATGAAGGAGTAATGTGGATTTATATATAAACTTATGTGGACATCCTTTTTTGTGTACAATGAATAAACAAAACCAATCCAATGATAATTATACTTGCGGATTGGCTTTCATATGTTTAAGTATAAGCGTTCAGGTTCTAATGAAGATCAGCGCAGAAAAGCGCTTCGGACAATCGAAATGTATTACGTTTTATTTTCGTAAACTAGACCGTTACTACTGCCGGGGACAGTTAGTAAAACTTTTCAATCCTGGTATCTATGAGTTTATTTAGTACCGAGGGTATCATCAGATCAATAGTCAGTGCGTCGATACCGCATCTATTGGGCTGTTATTTCTCCACTCGAGACAGTTAAAATTTTCAAATCACAAAAGAAGATTCAAATATTGATCACATATACATTTGAACGATGACAAATTGAAATTACGATTCCACAAATCGGTAGTAAACATAATCATAGTCAGCTAGCAAACATGTCTCCATGACGTCCGTAAAAGAATATCAGTAGGGATATGCTACTATCAGTCATCGGAAAAAAAAATAATTGAGAGAAATAGTCTGAACAACCTTCTCCCTTAATAAGGACAGAAGTCAAAACTGCACTAGCTTTCCTCGAGGAATGTTTGCCACTGAACTTTATTTCAAAGATATAACTTTGAGCTTCATAATGAACTAGTTTTTGAATACCAGCATTTTTCAATTGTTTTGTTTTTAATTGTATGATATGAAGGGTAAACCGGATTATCAAATCCTTCATGACAGAGAGCATTGTAGCTCACCTAAATTGGTTGATCCATACGATGTGTCTTTGTCAAAACTAACTAAGGACATTTTTACCACGTGTTAGATTGTGGTTTGTCATTACGTCGTCTGATCTTTTAATTACCGAACGTGACTTATTCCCGATTGTGACTGTTTTGCTGAGTGTGAAACCGCATTGCTATAAGACGTGTCACGGTACCTTTCTATCCCAAATTCATGTATTTAATTTTGATGTTATATTTGTTGTTCTCGTCGGATTTTGTCAAATGTCTTAACGTATTTTCTGTTATATTCGTGTGTTATGGTATAGATAATTAATCACCCCTTCATTTATTAGATTTTAGTTTGGTTCAACGAAATTTATACGATATTTGGTTTACAGTTTGATTCAGAAGAAACACCGACATAGCTAGATAATACAATTAATTATCTAATTACTACCACAATTTGATACTAATAAGTATTGTAATTTTAATTGTTATTAATAAATGTAATGGCAGTATTATAAATCTATCTTGAATCAATCCTAATCCTATCTTATTTTTGGGAAATATTTTTACAAATTCATATGTGACGTCACTTTGTGTGTTTTTTTAGAATTTCAAATGTGACGTCACTTTGTGCGTTGAGGCTTTAGCTAACTCGGCTGTGTATTTTTATATGTTGGATTAAGTTGTTTTATGTAATGTATCCGTTTTTATTCTGTAGTTAGTCCCCATTTTGGTTTTATCATGTATATCTATTATATAGTCATTTTATAATATTTACTGTTTGCAAAATTATAAATTATTCTAAATAATAAGGATGTTCTTGTCCCAGGCAGAAAATCCTGGCCGTGTTAGTCGCAACTTTTTGGAAGTTTTGGTCCTCGGTGCTCTTCAGCTTTGTACTTGTTTTGGCTTTCAAACTTTTTTTATCTGAGCGTCACTGGTTAGTCTTGTGTGGACGAGACGCACGTCTGGCGTATTGAATTTTAAGCCTAGTACCTTCTGCTAGCTATTATTCGTGTGTTCCTTTGTCCTATATGTTCTCCCATTTATTTGTATTGTGGTCCTGTCATGTGATGTTGTCGTTTTGGTGTTGTGTTTGACGTTACCATAAAAGCGGGAGGTTTGGCATGCCACAAAACCAGGTTCAACCCACCATTTTTTTCTTAAAATGTCCTGTACCAAGTCAGAAAAATGGCCATTGTTATATTATAGTTCGTTTCTGTGTGTGTTACATTTTAATGTTGTGTTTTTGTTGTGTCGTTGTTCTCCTCTTATATTTGATGCGTTTCCCTCAGTTTTAGTTTGTAACCCGGATTTGTTTTTATCTCTATCGATTTATGAGTTTCGAACAGCGGTATACTACTGTTGCCTTTATCTAAACCCATCAATTCATATGGCATCCAAATTACTATAAATCTACTACTAATCTACTATCCTATTGTATGTTTTAAGGGTAATACAGAAGTTCTAGTTAATGTAACTATTAACGTTGTTTATGTTTATTTACAAATACATACATTAGCAAATACAAGATCCTCACAAGTTATGAAATCAATGCTAGTACTTATAAATCTATGGTCTTGATAAATATTTCTAAAACTGATTTTTTTTTATAACTTTCCAAAATCATTTGGATGACAACAACATTTTTATCAGTGTTACACCTTGACTTTATACACATTAAAATTGTCACTTAGATCCAGGGACTCATTGAGTTACTTGATCTAGTTCACTAAACACTATTGTTCGCAAGCCTTCATCATATTTGCCTTTATCAAACAGTAATTGTTCCAGTTCTGGATTAAAACCACGCGGAATTTCTATCCTAGAACAGCATGAACAGCACGATGAAAGTGAAGGAAGTTTCGTCTCAATCACATATCCCGAATAGCCAAGCACTGGAAAGAAAGAAAAATATAAAGAGTAGTTAACCTTCTATAGTTATATGTTTTCCAAACTAAGGTGAACTTGAACTATTGAAAACAACAGATGTTAAAATCTTGTTAATCCATTTAGACTATAAAAATTAAGGTAAAATAAATCTCGAAGGAATCATCTCGATAGGGTTAGCGTTTCCTGCTGTACATACATTACCCACCATAGACTCTTGTATCAGACTGGAAAAAAACTTTCCTCAACTTCTTTATTCCTTATTTTTTTTGATAATTTAAGGTATATATGAAACCCAAGAGCTCTCTCTCTCTCTCTCTCTCTCTCTCTCTCTCTCTCTCTCTCTCTCTCTCTCTCAAAACATTGATTACTTCTGAGTAACTATGTTATATCTACCACTTTAAGAAGTTTACAAGGGGGCGATCAAAACCGTAAGTCGACGAAAAGCAATCAACATTTTCTCGTTTGAATTGTTTTACATTTGTCATTTCGGGGCCTTTTATAGCTGACTATGTGGTATGGGTTTTGCTCAATTGTTGAAGGCCGTATAGTGACCTATAGTTCTTAACTTCTATGTCATTTGGTCTCTGGTGGAGAGTTGTCTCATTGGCAATTATACAACATCTTCTTTTTTTTTTATATATACAAAACCATTACCACAAAGAAAAACTTATCAGACAACAACATATAAAAAAAACTTTTCACAGAACTGAATTCTGAGCTACATAACGGCATTCGTAAAACTGTTAACGTAACCGTAAGAAACCCTTTATTATTAACAGCAACATTCCATCAAGAAAATATAATATGATGTAGTCCTCTCTGACGTCAGTATTAATTAATATAGCATATCCGGGTCCTATTCTTTGTCACTCAAATCGAAGATTTTTTTTTATTTTCCAAAATTGGACTCCAAATATTTGTTTCTTTTCGCCATTTCATTTCTAGAATTGCATAAAAGCATCAAAGTCGTAAAGGTGCGGTCCAAATTCACTAACGCTGATCGACATTCTTGTCTTCTATTTCAACCTTCTTTTTTGTCTGTCATGTTTTCCAACGAAATTCCTGATATTTTTTTTTCTAATATCAGCAATTTAAAGTCTTTTGTTGGTAAAGTTTAATAGGTTTAGTTTTAATTTACTAATTGTCGGCTACAAATTAATATCAAATGATGTCATTTGTTAGCGCTATCGCTTTGAAGTGTAAAGCTTAATTACAAGACACTGTAGTTTATGCTTTGTACTATATCATATCTCATTTATCCTTCCCATGACGACACTAGATCTATATGCAACTGTTCCCCATTTCACTGGATATACCAAGATGTCGATTCGGATAAAAACAGGTTAAATATAGGCACATTAAAAAAGATCCTGAAATTAACCAAAATTTTGTAAATGTTTTTTTGTTTGTGCCGAAATATTGAATGAGAATGTAATTCTTTCAAAACTGTCCCATAAGTCCTTTAAGTACATCTAGGTAATCCATTTTTAATTCCACAATAAACTCCAAAACTATTGTTTACTATTACAGAATCGTGCCAATGTTACTGGTTTTCAATTAAAGAATGGAAAAAAATACCAGTTTCCTCCATTTGCAAATTTGAAAACCAAATCTGATGCAGATTATGGCTTCATGTTTAACAACTCCCCAACGTTTTATCTAATCCATCGGTTGATAATTATAATGATGTTTTTTTCGTAGTATTGTCACTTATTTTAACATTATTTTTTATGCAAGATTTCAGATGATATAATTGATAATTCCAATCTAAAAGAATTAAAGACCTTTGCCATTTGATTAGTTTCACTGTAAAACTTATAATATATACATGTAAATAGTTCATGCTTTCCATTGAAACTTACAAGAAGGAAGTTGGAGACTACCTGGCTTTGGTAGCATTCCTTTAATTCGTTTGTAATCTGGATCTTTGCTGTCGATCATATATTCGGGATCTGGCATTCCGGAAAACACACATAGCGTTATTTTCATATATCTCATTGCTGAAGAAAAAAAACATGATCTGAATTCATTTTACATATAACAAGGTATATTTGAATGTTAGTTGCAAAAAACTTTAAAAAGCCAAACAATGTGTAGTCATTTTTGGGCCCTTTGTAGCTTGATATTCGGTGTGAGCCAAGGCTCCGTGTTAAAGGGTATACTTTGACCTAAAATTGTTTACTTTTTACACATTGTGACTTGGATGGAGAGTTGTTTCATTTGGTGATAATACCACATCTTCTTATTTCTATGATGTTCATGTAAAAGATGCGGAAGAAACACAAGGGATATTCGAGCATAAGTCGAACTGACAATGTCATGGAAAAATAGGAAAAACAAACAATAAACAACATTCTACAACATACAACTTGGACAACTAAAGCATAATTTTACTCTATGGTTGCCGTTTTACACTTGTCTTTCATGGAAATATATAAGATCGTATGAGTTATAATGAAATGCAATTGTTAAATTACTTATTGTTTGTCCCTTTTAAAATATTGAAAGAATGGAAATGTCTTATATATAAAAAAAAAAAAAAACACTTGAGCATTTCAATCGCATAATATACTATAAAAAAGTCTTTTCATTTCAAGAAAGTGATATTTTACATAGACAAAAAATTAAGAATCAACAGCGACATCAAATAAGACATAATGATAGATAATCTTCATTTTCATATATTTTCGCTGATTTGTTTTATTTTTTAATGGTTTGAAAATTGGAAAGGTGATATAACCAATTGAAATAGAAATACTAAAAGAAAAGACGACAAAGATACCAATGGGACAAGCAAAAACATTTAGTCGAAAATAAATGACAAACCCTTTCGGAACGAAAAAAGACGAGGAGACTAACAACAGTTTTACAAAATATTAAAAAAAAACTCATTCGAGCATCACAAAACCCATCAAAACTAGAATTGTTTGCAGGTGCTCCAAAAGGATAAGCAGATCCTCTTACACGATTGACATAAGTGACATCCCTTGTGTTGTCAATTGCAGAAAATATAGATAATAATTTGCATCGGTGATGTCAAAATCGACGAAAAAAAGGCTTTGTTTTTGCTACAACAATTAGCGCATATCTGTGTTCATCTGCGACAGAACCATTTAAAAGGAGTCTGTAATAATTTCAAACCAATCCGTTTCAGGGACATAATGATAGTAATTGCAAGCTCTTTAATATCATATCAACTAGGAGATATGTTCACGCTGCTGGAATGTTGCTACATATAATTGGAAATTCACTGTTTTGCAAGATATGAGGTATATATTAAAAATTACGTAACCGTTTATTTGTCATATTTTATTTCGATTGCGCTCAAAATAGTCTGTAAGCTATATATATTTGGGTAGGACAACATCTTAGCAACATTTTGGCCTTAAAAAGTAAAATAAAAATAATACCGAATTCCAAGAAAAATTTAAAATGGAAAGTCCCTTATAAAATTATAAAATGGCAAAATTAAAAGATCAAACACATCAAACCAATGGTAAACAACTGTCATATTCCTGAATTAGTACAGGCATTTCCTTTTGTATAACATGGTGGATTAAGCCTGGTTTTGTTGCTAACTAAACCTTTTGATATTTATATCATGAGTGTTGAAAGACCCATGATCGACCTCCCAGCATTATTGAAATCGGAAGAATATTTACATCTTCTGTTTTCCATATTCCCTTTTATCTGGCATAAAGTTTAACTTTAATAAATTCCTTTACTTATTAAACCAGGTTTTATCTCTTGCAATGTCCTCCTAATTTTTAATGAAAGTTGCATCTCAACATGTGCCAAAATAGATTTAGAGTCTTCTTAAACTACTTTGAAATTGGTAACATTTTATATGTAAGAAAGAGGCGGACGATATCAAAGGGATAATCGAACTATTTAGTCGAAGACAAACTAACAACGCCCAACGCCATGGAAACAAAAAGAAAACAGATAAAAAAACAGTCTACAAAACACAACATATCAAACTAATTAAATTAGATTTTACTGTTTCATATACGAATTAATTCATTCAGGTTACGGATTTGCTTTGGTTTTCTTTTTTGGTCAAAATACCACAAAATATTGTGAGAACGACAAGGTTCAAACATGAAACTATGATATTTTGAAATTTATACGAAATAAATATTTTTTTTGCAAATGGTCCTTCCATCAATTAGAATAAAAGATCAATTTAACTCTAAAACTTTTTGTTTAATGACGAGTACACAATGAAATAAATTTTCTGTTTTGTTTGATCTGTAAATGTTAAACAAATTATAACAAAGTAAGGGGTATTAAATGATGAAATCAGATTGAAGATTCGGTATTCTAATCATAGTTTATATAAGTCAACGTCTCTTTTTTTTTTTAAATGTTACACCTGATACTGATTAAAACGGTTATGTCTCGAATTAAAATTGCCTTTGTTTTCTTTATTTGTATTTCTTTTTTAACACAATCAAATAATCTTTATTGCACCACATGTACATGCTGTTTAACAATATACTTAACTTACAGCGTTGGGCTAGGTATCCGTTTATTAGTTATTGGAAAAATATCTGATAGAATATATATAAATGAAAATATTACACATTTTGATATCATAAATATAAGTAAAAAGAAAGTAATTTCCTGGATTTTATTTCTGTACTTTTTTTTTTAATTTCTTCATGATTCCGTAAACGAAAAAAATTTAATATCTATCACTAATTACTATTACGCTTTTAGTGTGCTTTATGTCAAAAAATATCCACAATACATCTCAAAAATTACGATATATAAACTCATCATAGATACGATAGGTGTGAATGCGGTATTTTTTAAACATGATTTGTCATACACTAATCATATATTCATCTTTGAAATGTTCCTTTCATCAACGTTTTTTACACCACCCTAAATGTAACTTCGTTTGACAAATATATTTACTACTGAAACGCTTGAAGGGTATTAAAAACGTGACTATATCTACACTTATCAAATTACATATATATACATGAAATAAAAGTTACATTGATATCGATAATATCTAATAATACATTATTAATACATACCTTGGTTTCAGCTGATGGCAAGTAACTAATGTTCGTCTCAAAGTGTAAACTATCTATATTTCCAGATTTCTAGTGAGAGTTGTCTTTCGTAGAATAGCAAGTTCAATGCTATCATGCTATCATATTACAGATAATTTAGCGGACAAATAGCGTAATATAAATGAAAGATGTAAAAAAATAATATCCTTCCTTTCACTCATTTCTATCATTAAATTAAATAGGCTTCCTAAGATTTTGGAAAATCTATCTCAATGTGTGAAATTTAAATTAACAATGGAATATCTTAAGGCTTTTATCGCTCTGTATGGAAATATTCAAGTCTTATTTATCTCAAAGTAAAAAAACAAAACCTGCGAAATCCATATTTACCTCAAAATGAGTCACAATTAGGAATAACATACAATCGTTATAACGAATTCCAATTTGTGATTTTGACCGTAAAACTTATGTCGTCTCAAATTCGTGTCAATTTCCTTCGTTCTTCCTCATAACTACGTTGGATCAGTTTCTTTTTGACTTTTAGAAGTTTTTGAATACAAAACCAATCAGCAAGTAGGGGGGGGGGGGCGTAATTAGTATCAAATACAATACCGACTGTCTGTTGAAATATCAATCCAAAAAATGTATTACCGTTGAAACTCCCAAATTGGTTACAAAAGAGAGAGAGATGAAAGATAACAAAAAAAAAACAATATACAACAAACAACATAGAAAACTAAAGACTTAGCAACATACAGCGGCGGTGATATCAAGTGCTGCGAAAGAGTAAGTAAGCAGATCCTGCTCCCAATGTGGCACCTGTCATTTTGCAGATGTAAGTACAAACCTGGTGATAAGTCACTTTCGGTAGGTTAATTTCGAGGAAAAGAGGACGGGATTGCAGTTACGACCATTTGACTATAACTGTCGATATCTATGAAACAAATATTCCATAACGTAAACCAACTCGTGATTGCGTCCGTAAAATTTTCAAAGAGATGATTTCAACTTCAACTCGTGGAATTCTTGGTTTAATATCTTTCTTGTAAGCAGCAACACTCTTTAAAGTAAATAATAATATAAATCTATTGAATCGGCTCGGAGTCAGAATAGTGCTCCCGGGTAAGGTGACATGTCTCCCTGCCGACTGTTACCTTGTGAACTAGCACGTTTAAAATCCGGCTCATCGTGTCAGTCTAGTACATAGCAGGGTACATATTTATATAGCACGAAGATGTTCTCGTCCTGAATATACATTTAATTTACCACTGGACATTATCAAGTCATTCATCCATCCATCCATAATCTCTCTTTGCATATATTTAATAGCGTTTACCCCATTGCTCTGCACTTTGTGTGTGTTTGTGCCATGTGAATGTGTTCATTACTTTTGATTTAGTTACATTAATGTGTATGTTATGCTATTTTGGCTTTCTTATATTTGGTTTTGAGCGTTTCTGGTGATGGTAAATCCAGGACAGCCCTTCGGACGCATTACTTTTATAATGTGTTGTTTTATTTTTTTTGTAATTATATATGAGATTCATTTGAAAGACAATCAAGAATTTAAAACATAAGCATTAATTGTCACGAACAAAACTTCTAATTTGATAAGGAAAGAATCTAAGTGAGTCATAACAAGTTTGACAGTTTAACTGTATGGAGACACTTTCTTCCCACTTTCCATTCTTTTTAACAAATGACATTGACATCTGACATTTGTTTTTCTCGTAATAGAAAAGAAAGGATACGGGGTACCCATCCATGACACAAAATCAGCATATGCAAAGGAAAAAACACAAAACGCAAAGAACAGCTATTTTATTGCTGTTCTTCATCTCAAAGTCACAATGATGGCTTCAACACGAAAAAAAAAAGACTCTCACCTCACTGCAAGTTTATGACGGCCCAACAGCGATTTGAGCGTAATCCTTATTCGAAAATTATCAATTAAAGAACGCTTCCTTTGAGTTTTGTCATTTAAAATTAAGACAGAAAGTGACTGCAGCATAGATAATGATGGAACCGTTTGACCGAAGTCACAACATTTTTTTTAAATCTCTTCATAAATCATTAATACTAATACGTTGCCTTTTGTATTAACAAAATCTTTATCCTTCTCGAGGATGGAAATGTAACAGAAGTGGTTCGATTCAGTTTGCAAAGTTTTCTATAATCCTGCCTCAATAAATTATATACCATGACGCTTGATAAGTGACTTTCCGTTTTGAATTTTCCTTGGAGTTCGGTTTTTTTGTTATTTTTTTTTTTATAGTTAGCATATGATAGCTTAAGCTTACTCTCACTGGACATAAAAACTTTCTGCAATTCAATATCCCGTATAATAACTTTGAAAGATGTAATTTATTCTATATTTGTATTATAAAGTCATTAAAGGCAATTCATGCAAGTTCAACAATAAACATTATTTTAAAATACAAGGTTTGCAAATCCAATCAGTGTAAAGAAGTATTAAAAATGTACACAAAAATTCATCAAAAGCAAATTGAGTGTTTAATGGGAGCAGTGTAGTAAACATTTGATTATCTAAAAAAAATACCTATTACAAGGAGCTAAATAAATCACTTTTAAAATTTTAAGGTTTTATGCAAAAACACAAATATTGCATGTTTTAATACTTTTAAAAAACAATAACACTTTTTTACGGAAAGAAATACTTTCACACGGTTTTTTGCAAAGTGTTTCTTAATTAATAGTATTAAAGAAATTCCAGACAGAAGAAAAAACAAAAAACTCTGATGAAGACTGAATGCGAAAATAAATCATGAAATCATACAATTATTGGAAATAAAAAGACGTAGACGTTTTTCTTGCCAACAGAAATGTTTATATATAAAAATCTACCATTGATTTCTGCAAGAAACCTAGTTATTCAAACGCTGGCGATCCCGTTTTCTTTTTTTTTTTCTTTGGCGCTTAATTACGCCGCATTGATTTCTTGATGCAAATAAACTCATCACAGATACCAGGGTTGAAATTTTGTAGTTACGCTAGACGCGCGTTTTGTCTATAAAAGACTCATCAGTGACGCTCGAATAAAAAAAGTTAAATAGGCCAAATAAAATACGATGTTGAAGAGCATAGAGGACCTAAAATTCCTAGAAGTTTTGCCAAATACATATAAGGTAATTTATTCCTGAGATAGAAAAGCCTTAGTATTTCAAAAATTCAAAGTTTTGTAAACAGTTAATTTATAATTATCACCATATCAATGATAATTCATGTCAACACAGAAGTGCTTACTACTGGGCTGGTGATACCCTCGGGGAATAAAAACTCCACCAGCAGTGACATCGACCCAGTGGTTGTAAATAAACTCGTCATAGATACCTGCATCCATTATTTTGAGAATAATGACCTTTTCACATTGGTTTTATATTTGCTTTTAAAGTTCAGGGACCTATTAAAATTAATTCGATTTTCATTGATCATAAACCATGTAAACGATATAATTACAAATAAAACGCCTAAATACAATCTTTAACGTATAACAAAGTTATTTTCACAAAGATTAAGCATTTGTCATGGAACATATCTACAATTTCCTACAAGCCCTTCTGGTGTACATACAATTATTAAAGAAAAAAGTAAAATAACAAAAATACCGAACTCCAAGCAAAATTCAAAACGGAAAGTCCTTAATAAATGGCAAATTCAAACGTTAAACACGTCAAACGAAAGGAAAACAACTGTCATATTCCTGACTTGGTACAGACATTCTTTTTGTAGAAAATGATGGATTAAATCTGGTTTTTTTAGCTAGCTTAACCTCTTACTTGTATGACAGTCGCATAAATTTCCATTATATTGACAACAGTGTGTGAGCAAAACAAACATACATAATAGGTAAAAATGTCAAAAATTGGGGTACAGCATTGTGTTATAATCTTAATCACTATAAAAACAAACAACTATGTAAACAAAGAAAAAACATGGCATGTAGACACTCTATAGACAAAGCACATAAGCAAAAATGAAAGACAAGAATACAAAAATGACTATAGCACAATAACACAATGTATAAATACCGAGCCACACCAAAATAATATTACCATAATGGACTAAACAATAAAGGTTAAAAATATGTAAAGACAAATAACAAGAACACTATAAAACGTAATTAAGATGAAAAACAACGTCAGTACCTATAATCTATACTTCAAGACCATCATGTACTATTTCTTAATTTGATACGGAATATTTATCAACAAGGTCTTGGTATCGTCCGATGAATTGTTTTTAGAAAAAGGACGAGACATTCTTTATGATGCTATCAATATTAGCGATATTTTCCACCAGACATCTGTACATAAAATTATACCTGATTACTTCAAAAATAAAGCTACACCTGTAATTTCATATACTTACACCAAGCCTATTGAATCCAAGATTTTCAACCACAAGAGGAATTTAGAGGCCTTTAACCTCAAAGATTTGAAACCCAAACCTCCGGATTGCTCATGTGCATCGTCAAAATACGATTATAGTCCAACTGGTCATGTTATTAATGGCGACCTTGTCATCGTAACCAATGAACAACTAAGAGAGTTGTTAGCCAAGGGACCAAAATATAGAATTCTTCAGCCCATCAACTGGAAAAAGAACTTCAGGTTACTGATGGATGCAGTTGAAGACTGTGTCAGAAAATGAGTAAAGCGCGAGCCAGATAAACCAGAACTGGACACTTTTTCTGAATGGATCAAAGCTATTCGATCATGCATTCAGAAACGCATTCAGAAACTACGATGTACTATGAGCACAAGGGTTTCTAACCTATTCAAGAATCCGGAGGTTTTGGATGTTTTATCCCCTTTGCATGACAAATATGTCGTTGTTCCAGCAAATAAAGCCTTCAATAATATTGTCTTCATATGTAAAAACCATTACTTGGAATGTCTCACAAAAGAGCTGGGAATAAACAGCAAAACTGGTAATCCTACATATTCTTTATCATCTTTTACAAAAGATGAAATTTTACAAAATCACAAATCTGTCCTCCTTTCTTTTGGTATTTACATCAAAGAAAACGAAGAAAATCTACCGTCATTATACTTGATACATAAACTTCCCAAAACCCCTTATAAAGAACGATACATAGCTGGATCATAAAGATGTTCAACTAAACATCTTTCTAAAGTGCTGACTACTATTCTTTCTACAGTAAAAGATGTCCTTCATAAATATTGTGATGAGATATATTCAACCAGTGGTGTCAATCAGATGTGGATTGTTAAAATTTCTAAAGATCTACTGCTAAATCTTAGGTCACAATCTCTGCAATTTTGCAGCAACATTAACACATTTGATTTTTCTGCGATTAACACTACTGTTCCCCATTCTCAATTAAAACATCGACTTCACCATCACTTTAACCAGAGTTTTTTCTATAAAAAGGGGAATCGTAGATATAAATTTCTTGTTTTGGGTTATAATCATTCTTATTTTGTGAAGAACCACACTGATTCTATCAGAAAATAAACTGAAGATGATATTATCAAAATGCTGGACTTTTTGATCGACAATAATTATATTTGTTAAGTTTGGAGATTGATATTTCAAAAGACAGTCGGTATTCCAATGGATACTAATTGTGCACCCCTACTGGCCGATTTGCTTTTGCAGTCGTATGAAGAAGAATTCATTCAGAACCTTCTAAAAGACAAAAAAAAAAAGCACCATGCGAAATTCTTTAATTTTACTTTCAGACATATTGATGATGTCCTATCACTGAATAACCCATATTTCAGTCAGTACTTACATCTAGATTAAGGATACTACTGATACTAGAAGGATTGCTTCATACCTTGATCTTTTCCTCAATATTGACACAGATGGACGACTTCACACTAAAATCTATGACAAACGGGACGATTTCAACTTCACAATTATCAATTTCCCATTTCACAGCAGTAACATACCCTCTGTCCCATCATATGGTGTTTACATTTCTCAATTGATTATAATACTCGTGCATGTTCACACCATAGGGATTTCATATACAGGAGTGTGCTCCTTACGCAGAAACTGCTCTAACAGAGTTATGAGGAGGAAAGGTTAAAAATTACACTCCGTAACTTTTATGGACACCATCACAAATTGGTTGATCTATACGATGTGTCTGTGTCTAAACTAACTAACGACCTATTTACCACGTTTTTGATTGTGGTTTATCATCTGATTCGTCTGGTCGGCTAAGTTCCGAATGTGACCTATTCCCGAATATGACTGTTTTGCCGAGTGTGAATTCGCATTGCTATTACACGTGTCTCGGTATTTATACATCCAACTTTCCTTTATTTAGTTATGAGGTTCCTTTCGTAAGTCTTGTTGTATATTGTGTTATGTCTTATCTTTGTGGTTTGCATTCCTTTTTTATTTTCTATATTAATGCAAAAGTTATGATAATTAATCAGTTTAAAGCAACTATATGCACAGGATTTACTTGTTTTTACACAGTTTTGATTTAGAAGAAAAACCGACATGGTTAGAAAATACAAATAATTACACCATTACTAACTCAATTCTATATTAGTATTCTTGTAATGGTTAGATAATACATAAAATAACACCATCACAAACTTAATCCCAATTTTATATTCTTTTTTTTTAAATTTACCCGTGACGTCTCTTTTTGTGGCGTTGATACATTCATGTGACGCACAGTTCATAATTATATTGTGGTGTGCTAGTGTACTGTCGTAAACTGATGGAAGTTTATCCGTTGTTATTCTGTGGTTTACATGTTGTAATGTACTATTATGTTATTTATTTATGTATTTCTCTTTCCTGCGCGTTATTGCGTTTATTTATACTGTATTTCTGTCGCATAATGGTGTCATTTTAGCGGTATTTTTAACATTGCCATATAACCGGGAGGTTTGGATACCCATAAAACCAGATTCAACCCACCATTTCTTCTTAAAATGTCCTGTACCAAGTCAGGAATATGGCAGTTGTTATCAAATAGTCCGTTTCTATGTATGTTTGTTTTTGTAGCAGTTCAGTGTTTCTGTTGTTCCGTTGTTTTACTCTTATAGTTGATGTGTTTCCCTCGGTTTTGGTTCGACCCGGATTTGTTTTCGCTCAATCGATTAATGACTATTGAACAGCGGTATACTACTGTTGCCTTTCTTTATCTTTGACATAACCTTGGTTCATCAACTTTTTCCTCAGACACTGGTGACATTTTATAAAGTCTGAGTAGCAGCTGCAAGCTCTTGAATACCGAATGAGTTGGAAAATGTATATCCCATATGCAGGTGAAGTTGGTATATTGGTACTAAGGTGGGGAAAATTTATAATTCCGAAATTAAAATCGTCTCGTTTGTCATAGATTCTGGTACTGAGATGACCGATTATGTCAAATTCGAGGTATAAGTCTAAAAATGAGGCAGAGATAGCCGTGTTTGTTGTTTCTTTAATTTCTAGTTCTGGGGGACATATTAATTGAACCCAATCAGAAAAGTTTTGATTGTTAATGGAAAGAACATCAATGTATCTGAATGTGAAATTAAATGATCTGGCTTCTTTGATCTTCTTGTTTTTGACAAGTGTCTGAAGGAACTCCGACTCATATAAAAATAAGAAGAGGTCAGCAAGGAGAGATGCACATTTCGTTCCCATAAGAAGGGGTTGGCTTACGTAAAATCATTTAAAGAACTAATTGAGAAAAACCTGCTATAACATTTTCTCCGTTATATAAATGGCGGTTACGTAGTCCTTCTCAGTGCAGGGTTGAATTTCAACATAATTTGAATAAGATAACATCTTTGAACGCCAGCACGTCGGTCAGTTTCTAAAAACAGGCATACAAAACCCGTCATAAAATTATCCAAAGAAAGCCATACCTTGACCCATCCTGTGCCAGAAAATGCATAACGTTTTAGATAAACTGGCGTATGTAATAAAACAATAAAAATCATTTTACTGCAGCTGGTCATTTTTTTATTTCCTGTATAACGGAATTTTTATGAATCAATAGATGCTGACTAAAAATAGAAAAAAAAAACATTATTTGTGACATGAAATACAGCAGTTCCATAGAAAACGCTCACTTGCTACGTTATAACATATACAAATAAAAAGAGTTAAGCAACTATTGCTTACATCCACTTCATTTGAACTTTGGTGGACAGTTGTCTCATTGGCAATCATATCACACCTCTTTATTGTTATATACATCCACTTCATTTGAACTTTGGTGGATAGTTGTCTTATTGGCAATCATACATAAAGACAACAGTAGTATACCGCTGTTCAAGTATACCACATCTCCTTATTGATATTTAGGTAAAAAGACCGAATCAATATGTTCTTGAATCAAGAAAAATAAAACCCATGGAAAATTACATAAAAAATATCGAAAGAACATGATTCAATGAACATTGAATGTGTCTTCTTGATCATTTCAGTCCATCCAGTGCACCAAATACTCTTTTCCTCAAAGTGTCACCAAAGTTGCCTTTGTTAAAAAGCATTTTTTCCAGTTCTTGGTTAAATCCGCAAGGAATTTCTATCGAAGAAGAACACGACAAATGGTTTGATTTGGCATTACCCATGATGGTAATCATATATCCCTGATAACCAAGCACTGGAAAGAAAGAGAATCAACAGTTAATAATGCATAATGTTATGTACTACAAGTAAGAGACAAAAGTTGTAAAAACTCTTCAAAGATACCAGACTTATAATTTGGTACTCCAAACGCGCGTTTCGTCTTCATAAGATTCATCAGTGGCGTTCGAATCAAAACAGTTGTAAGGCAAAATCAAATACTAGTAATACGAAGTTGAAGCGCATTAATCATTGAAAATTCAAAAAAGTGGTGCTAAATTAAGATAAGGCGTTACATGGGGTTACAAAACTCTTGCTTAGCTTTTGGAATATTTTAAAATATTAACAGTAAATTTGAAGAAAATTAACATCTCAGTGATATTTTATGCAACAAAAAATGTGCTTATTTGGTAATGAACACTTACCAGAAGGGAGATGTAAACTCCCCGGCTTTGGTAATGCTGCTTTAATTGTTTCGAAATCTGGATCATTGCCATCAATCTTATATTCGGGATTCCGCCTTCCGGAAAAAACGCATAATGTTACATTCATATGTGTCATTTCTAAAACAAATAAAGGATATCGTCTAAATTAATCGTTCGATGTTTTCGTTTGTTATATAGTTTCACATTTGCGTTCTCAATAATGTATAAACGTGTGGTTTTTACGTAAAAAGAGTCTTGAAGCAAAACTGCACATGTTTACATTTGTAATTGATTTTGCTAACTCTTATATTACACAATATTTTTAAATGACTTATTTTGATAAAACTTAAAAATATATAATTGGCATCTAAAGTTAGGAAATAAACTTTATATCGTTCAGATAATGTCAGTCCGTTCAAATAGTTTTTGTACTTAATATTTATCTAATGATACAATTTGTATATGGATTTATCATTAAAACTACGATATTTGATTAGTTCCTTTATCGATTAGTGGTTGAAAGAATTGATAGTTATTCATTCTGCTGTTGGTTGCCGAAAACTAATGATCATTTTAATGAAATAAATTTAATTAATTTGATACAATTGTTGTCTCTTTGAAATATTGAAAGAAGAAACGTCTTGTACATATCTAATACACTTGCAAAATATTTTAATTCACTATACACATACAATAGTGTTGTCATAGCCTATTAACCGTACTTTTAAGAATTGATGGAATAAAATCATAAAAAGTTACATGACTAAATCAATTTTTTTCACTTACAGAACATTCGTATCCAGTATTATCTAGTTGAAATTTTATATTTAATAGGTAAAAACATGTTCAATTAGTGTAGCCTTTCAATAAAACCGATATGCAGCGCTACACTTTTCTTGGAGCTCTTTGATATTTTTGTAAAGTTTGCAATTTAGAACCAAAATGAGGTAATCACAATTTTCAGACTTGTTAATTTGGTTCCGTGTTCAGAAATATGAGTGAATTTGATAAGACTGTCGTACAAGTGAGAGGTTTAGCGCTATAAAACCAGGTTCAATCCACCATTTTCTACATTTGAAAATGCCTGTACCAAGTCAGGAATATGACAGTTGTTGTCCATTCGTTTGATGTGTTTTGTCATTTGATTTTGCCATGTGATTAGGGACTTTCCGATTGAATTTTCCTCGGAGTTCAGTATTTTTGTGATTTTACTTTTTAGAACCTTATAGTAGACACATGAATTATTAAAGCTATGATGTTGTGAATACTTTAAAGATTGAAACATTTTATTTATATAATTACCCTTGCAAGAATAACAAATGGCTGATGTATAATTTAAATATCAGGGGAGTATTTATAATAAAATCCATTTAATGGCAAATTCAATATTATAATAAAGCGTACCATTTGCACTTGTTTATAAAAGTATGATTACATGCCTGTAACATTTCCCTTTGTTAAAGATCAACAAACTACTTTTGAAAATATAAGAAAAATTGAATATACTTAAAGCTTTACAAAAGATCATGAATTTACTAACTAAAGAAGCTTTCGGACTGAGCGTCAGATGTTTAGTTGATATATTGATTTGTTTATCTTTGAAATGCCCCCTTCATCAACTGATTGAAAACTAATAGTCGTATATTATTTTGCATGATTATTAGTCATTTATTTATTTTGCATGATACATCAAATGAGAGATAAACAACCTGCAGAAAAGTATGAAATGATGAACAAAACTCGACAAAATCACATGAATCAAATTACACATGTAACAATGTAAGAATAAAACGTGAAATCAATATTGACAATATCTATTTATACCTACCTCGGTTTCACCTCATGGAAGGTAAACAATGATCGTCTCAAAGTGTATAACTTTATTTATAGATTTTCTCTACTATTATAGGCCGTAGTAACAATAATATAAAATATTCTGGCGAACTAATAACCTATCATATGTTGTCTTAACCTAATTTTTTTTTTCATAATCTGTTATAGCAGCCATATGATCAATCAAACGACAGCAACAGACAGCACTGCCTCAAAGGAACAGGTAAAATCACAGTAAAGAATATACTTCAGAAGACAATATCTACAAATTATGAGAAGGCATGTACACATGAATATGTCAGGGGTGGATCAAGCCATTTTTAAAAGGGGGTCCCAATCCAGGATAGAGGAGGGCCGGGGGGTTCCAACTATATGTCCCCATTCAAATGCATTGATCGTCAAAAAAGGGGGGTCCCAATCCAGTATAAAGAGAGTCCCAATCCAGGATAAAGGGGGCATTGATCGTCAAAAAAGGGGGGTTCCAACCCCCAGAAACCCCCTCCCCCGCCTCCGGATCCGCCACTGTATGTCTTGTGGGGTTCATGGGGATTCTTTATGTATTTGAATGACAATATCATTCAAGAACTTAGATTTTGGTATTTCTATTGTAAAAACTTAAGGAATATTACGTATTTTAATCGAATGAAGAGAGAAAGAAAAAATCGCGATGCCAACAAAATTAATATACAGGTGCTGGTTATATTGCTAGTTCAAATAATGTCGCTCATTTCATGTTGGATGAGTAGGACAGAAACAAGAGTTCAACCTTCGACAGAATATTAAAAGCAGTAAACTATATTTTAAAATCAACACATCATCAACTGAGAGGAACACTTCTTAGAAAATTACACAGATAATCAGAAAACAACAAAAATAATTAGGAAAGGTAGTATGTACACAGAGCTTCAAGGCATAATAGCATTAGATTTTTCATAAATATTTTTAGAGAATAATATTAATATATTAGAAGTTGAATGCATCTCAGCTGATATTAATATTCAAACTGTTGATTTGAGTAAATTGTTCAAATTGGATGATCGGATGTTTTTAAATATTTTGATCCGTGATTGGGTGAATTTATCTGTGATTAATTTACTGACAGTTTAAATAAGAAGATACATAGGTTTTCCCCAAGTATTTGACACCTGGTACGTCCGGTGTTGACGCATTGTTACAAAAAAAGTAGATGCTCATTAATTTAGATGCCCTTAAATGTGTATGTCACACAATGGGAAATGTTATTAGTTAACAGTGTATTTGTTTTGTTTCATACATGCAGTCATAAGTTAATCGTAATTTCATTTCACCATGTATTTATTCGGGGTAACTTTTATTCACTAGAGAATATTGGATGTAAATAGTGTGAAAGCGTCGATCTTGATATCGTTGTTTTGTTTATATTAGACCGGTTTATTGTTTACATAAATTAATGGGTTGAAATTACTAGAATAATTGTCAAGGAACCAGTTTAATTAATCTGAATCAATCTAGCGTTTTATGATATTGTAGTCATTCCTGGTACAAAATCGCTTGTGTAATCATTCCTGGTTCAAAATTAAATCACTAGTGTATTCATTCCTGGTTCAAAAACACTAGTGTGAACATTCCTTGGATGAAAAACACTAGTTTACTTTGTCTTTTTTTTTTTAACATAAATCAACTTTGCAAGTTTTAGTTAATTCAAATACCCCCCAAAAATACGAAGCCCTATTTTTTATATATTGCCCCTTAAAAAAACCTCTTTAGAATCTTATGATGAATGGTGGATATTTTACACTGGACCCGGATTAAAAAACCTAGTGATTTTTTATTGGTGGATAAAAAACACTAGGAATTTTCATCCTCCGGATAAAGTACACTGGTGGAATCAAACCACTGTTACAAACAAACATTTCATGAGCTAAGCTGAACATTGTAACATATAGAATAACACAGCGTGGTTGACATTTGATGTTTGTAAATATTGTCAAAAAGGGAAATGTTGGTACTTATCAAAGTTTTATGTTTATTTAATTAATGACATCATTAAAGTTATTGATTTTTTTTTTATTTACAGACTCAATGAAAACAGTTTTTGTAAGTTGCCAATGATTAAAGTTTTTTCAGCATTGTCAATGCATTACCATCAATTGTGGAAGCATCTACTGCTACCAATTCGCTATTGTGTGATGCCTAATCACTTGATATAACTTATCAACCTATTTTATTGGAGTGATACGACGGGTGTCGCATGTGGAGCAAGATCTGATTGTGGAGCACATGAGATAATACCCGGTTTATCTCGAGTTTGTGTTGCTCAGTCTTTTGTTTTCTATGATGTCTTTTGTATACTGTTGTCCTTTGGTTGTTTGTCTTTTTTTGACCTGGTATTGTCAGTTCTTTCTCGACTTCTGAGCTTGATTATCCTTTTTGTATCTTTCCAATCAGTTTGTGTATACATCTGTGTTCTGATAAAGCAAGATGTGTGTGTTTTTTTCAAACTTATATTTATATATTTATATATTTATGTATCATTGTCATTTTTCTTAGTTTCTTTTGTTACCTATTCTGACATCGGATTCGGACTTCTTTTAAACTGAGTTTTTACTGTGCATATTGCTGTGTGTTTGTTTATTCTACATTGGCTAGAGGTATTGGGGGAAGGTTGAGATCTCACAAAACATGTTTAACCCCGCCGCATTTTTGCGCCTGTCCCACGTCAGGAGCCTCTGGCCTTTGTTTGTTTTGTACGTTTTTTTTAATTTTAGATCATTTATATGTTTTGGGATCATTTATATGTTTTGGAGTTAAGTGTGACGTCCATTATCACTGAACTAGTACACATTTTTGTTAAAGGGCAGCTGAAGGGTGCGGGATTTTCTCGCTGTGTTAAAGGCCCATTAGTAGCCTTGGACTGTTTTTTGCTCTTTGTTCGGGTTGTTGTCTCTTTGACACATTCCCCATTTCCATTCTTAATTTTATTATATTCTACGAAATAGTATCATGAAATGGTATTATTCTTTATCAATACAATTTATTTTTAAGTAACTTATCAACAAGAAATAACTTAATTATTACAACTGAAATTTTATAGTAAATTGTAAGATATGGTTCTGAACACGACTTTTGCAAATAAAGAGTGTGTTTTCTATGTTTTTAAGGATTTTTCGGTTTCTTGCTCTACAGTGAGTTAGCTCATATAAAAAGAAAATATTATTTTTCATGAAACACATAAGATTAAAACAGACGTTTATAGAAAAGAAAACAAAGCTATAACAGCAGTTAAAAAAAAAAAGTAAGAATGTAATTTATTGATGCAAATTGAAATCAGTTATTGAACTGCAAAGTAGTCCAAAATAATACAGATAAGGGAATACTTATTTTAAATAATGATTTTTATTATTGATTTGATAAATTATATATACTATATGTCTCTATGTAAGTGTCTCCTAGGTTCCTGGCCGAATTCAGATCCTGGATCTTGATCACCATATACTATTTTCCTTAAGTCTTCATCAAATTCACCCTTGTTAAACAGTAACTTTTCAAGATCTGGATTAAATCCACGCGGAACTTCTATCATATAAAGGCGCTCCTTTATTTTCGTTTTACCAGTTGGCATGATAAAAATCATATAACCTTGATAGCCAAGAGCTGAAAAAAGATTATATGCATTAAATATAACAGGTCAACTAAAAAAAGTCTATGATTTCGTTACCATAAATTACTTAAAACGTTTACTAAATTCATTCATCGATACATTGATTTGGTTTTGAAGTTAGCTGTTGTGTTTACTATAATAATGATGATTTTATAGCACGTAAATTTAGATAGAAGCAATGTAAACTTATTTGATTTTTTGAATAAACTTATCCTTAAAGGGTATCCATTTAACACCTAAATAGACCTATGAATATTTTGTGTAACGGTACGAACAGTAATTTCTGTTTATGATAGATTAAAACATAACTATGTATTGCTTTACATTTATGATAACTTATGGTCCTCCATTCTATAGATACCAGAGGGTGTGGATGGGGTTTACAGATAAGAGAATAATGGCCAAAACAAAATAAAGAATAGAGAATAATGGGGTGCTAAAATATAAAGAATAGAGAATAATGGGGTGCTAGAATATAAAGAATAGAGAATAATGGGGTTTTAAAATATAAAGAATAGAGAATAATGGGGTGCTAAAATATAAAAAATAATTGTGTAAAAATACAGAATAGGGTAAAATAAAGTAATGATTACATAAATAAATGATTAACAGAATAATGAAATTGTGCGTTTTCTGTACATAAATTTTTAATTGATAGACTAGTAGATCATTTGGTATAAAATGTCGAAATGACCGTAATCGGAACTGTTTCATTGATCTTAGTCATTGTAAGACTAATTCAGGTCTCTAGTTATTAGCGTTAATTTGTGTCCCGTGTTTGCCATTTTTCCTTTTTATTCACTGTTTTGTATTGTCCCTTTGTTTGTCTCTGCAGTTCTGTTCTTCTGGACTGACGCTTTTGTTTTGATCTTTTTCTTTATTTAATATATAAATCCAATTGCTTCTGACTTACTATTTTTGGAGTAATTTAAATGATATGAAAGAAAGACAAAAGCATTAGTTGTCAAACAAAAAGGGGGGTTCCAACCCCCGGAACAACCCCCCCCCCCCCCCCCCCTGGATCCACCACTGCCTAGTTCACCTTCTCAATACTAGTATCTCACATCACAAACCAAATATGATCAAATATACCTAATGTAATTTTATCTGCGGCTTATTATCCTATATATTCAAATAATAACAAAAAATTAAAATAATCTAAATTTTGTACGTGTTTGGTTTTAATCAAATGATAATCAAAATGAATAAATGGTGTCCTTTGTGTAGTGCAGTGACGAATTCACGGGGAATGAGGGTAGGGTCACCCCCCACCCCCCCCCTCCCCCCCCCCCCCCACATAAGTTTCGATTATGCACATTACCAATAAGGATATGCATACATAAATCAATGGAGTTAAATAAACAGTTAACAGATAACACATTAATCAACAACAACAAATAAAAACATCAGAGAATTAAAGTATGCATAAGTCAGTAAATGTTTGAGTGTTTTTGCATTTCAAGGGAATAGAAATTAAAACGCATAACATTGCATGTAATTAATTATAGATCACCCAAAGTGTGTTTAGCTTAGTACCGGTCGCTATTAATTTAGACACCGAAGTAAAACTAATTTGAGAGGAGTGAAACCTGATTAATTATTATATATTCAAGGGTATATATATTGCACGATACCCGTCAAATCGGACCCAGTGTAGGCAAGTTCTAGAAGTAAAATGCGTGTATAAATAAAACGGGTGTTTGGTATATGACAATGAGCCAACGACATAAAACATCACTGCTTGTCTACAGGCAAACATGTTTTTTTTTATCAAATTACTATTCCTGCTAGGGACGTCGACATGTTTAAAATTTAGATCAATGTTGTTTAAGGCAATACATCATTTACGAGTTGGTTCACTGTTGTAAGATATCTGTGTCACCGATGACCACAGATATTTAACAATTGTCGTTACCATAGTTCTGTCCTCTTTTTCTTAATTGTGACATCAACAAATAAGACGCATCGCAATGGGTACCACGACGGTTGCTTCAATGGGAGAAAGGTTTGCTTACCCCTCCGGTGTATCTGAGATCATCCCCAGATTTTGGTGGGTTCCTATTGCTTAGGTCTTACGTTTTCTGTGTAGTGTTTTGTGGACTATTTGTCTTTTCATCATTTTTGGTTTTAAGCCATTTTTAGTTATCTCGAGTTTTTCGAATGTCCCATTGGTATTTCGATTCATTTTTACTTAAATTTCATTACCAGATTGGAGACGAACACTTCCTTGCTCTGGTAACATGGCTTTTATTCTATTGTAGTCTGGATCTTTGCTTTCAATGTTATATTCGGGATTTGGCATTCCAGAAAACACATGCAACAGTACTTTCATATATTCCATTTCTAAAAGAAAGATAGATATGATCTGAACTGTTCGTTTGTATATTCGAGAGATTCTTATTTATTAACAATAAGTGCAAAAAAGGGAATGCCATAACATAGTGTTACCTGTTAAAGCATTGAAGGAACGAATGGTATTGCACCAGACGCGCATCGTGACAATCAGTGTCTCCTCGGTAATGCTTGAGGCCAAAATATTTGTAAAAAAAGAAGATCAAAACTATCATTGCTGGATCCAGTGGTGTTCCGGGGAGGTTGGATCCCCCCCCCCCTATTCTTTTCCACGATGTTTTCTTTTTCTTTTTTAATTATGTGAACGTTTCATTGTGTTTCGGGGGTAACCCCCACCCCCCTGTCCCCCTTTCACAATGTCTGGATCCGCGCCTAACTATGTATGATTATACAATAAAACCTTCAGCTATACTCTATATAATGCATTAGCAAAGACATTTACAGACAAGGAATGGTTTGAACTTTCCCATTGTCAATTTCCCATATCTCATATCGTATTGCGTTTACATATATCAATTGATACGTTACGCTCGTGCAATGTTCCCATTATACGAACTTCATTAACAGAAGTGCGCTTTTAAAACAGAACTGCTCCAATACTGTTATAAGAAGAACGACTGAAAGCAACACTATACAAGTTTTACGGACACCATTAGAAATTGGATGACAGACAGATGTGTCTGTCTCGACTCACTAGCGACATGTTTTCGATCTTTAGATTTCAGAATAGTCTTCTAATCTACGAGTTTGCCGATTGTGATATTTTGAAAAAGTTTGGATTCGCATTGCTGGAAATGCATACATAGCAGAAAAGGATTACCCTGTCGACGAAACCTATAGCTATCTTGCTCCTTTTTGCGATTCCCTCAGTTTTGTGTGTTACCTTAATTTGTCTTCGTAATCGAATTAGGATATTTGAACGTTATCAAATTACTGTTGCCTTAATTTACAGAAAAGAATGCGTTGATATTGATTGATACTTAAACTGTGTTCTTCATCATAACGCTTAAAATAGAATCAGAGAAACTATGATAGGGAATTACTTTCAAGGCCTTTATATATTTACTAACAGTAACTATTAAATACAGTTTAATGTTTACCTTATCTTTTACTTCTCTTTCTCCATTGATTGAGTGTAGCTGCTTTGCGTCCAGCGGCATATACTATTTTAATATATTTCATAAATTTATTCTTTCATCTTTGAAATGCTCCTTCTATCAACTGGTTTTATGCGTATAAAACGATTACACATATATATTTATAATTCTGGATGACTTGTCTCTTATAGAATACATATCTGCTATCGTGTTGAGAATCATTATAATTATGTACCCTGACTAAAATAACATACTTTCATTTATAACTTCATTTATAATGTAAGTGTTTAATCAATATCAGCTTTAGGTTGTAATAAATGCTTACCTCGATTTCTGCTGCTGGCAAGTAAACAATGGTCATCTCAAAGTGTATAATGTATGATGTTATCTCAGTTTTTGTTACAGTTGTCTTTCGTAAAATATTAATTGATTGGTTTCATTGAAAAAATATTCTGACGGTCTTGATTTTCATAATAGTGACATATCCAGTATTATGATGAGAACTATTACACCATCTTTGATCGCAAATGAAAGAAATGTGTTCATTTACAGGAATAGACCAAATTTAATGCAAAAATAATATCATGCATTGTAAATGTCTTTATATAAGTGAAGAAGGTATGTGATGTATCTTATCAAACATCTTTTATAAAAAATTGTGGAAAAAAATAGTTTTATTTATATTACTTTATTTTGCGTTAGAGGGACGATAACTCTGAAAATAAGAATTTACAGGATTATATAGTACGTTTATCTATCTTATTATATAGCATATATCATATATACCATGTCACGATATCTTTCATTTTTAAGAGCAATGTAAAATATATTGTTTTCACCAACTGATTTTTATAGTTTGTTCTTATGTTGTGCTGATTCACCACTGTCCCAGGTTATGGGGAGGGTTGAGCGCTCACAAACAGGTTTAACCCCGCCACATTCTTTATGTGCCTGTCCCAAGTCAGAAGCCTGTAGTTCAGTGGTTATCGTTGGATCATGTCGGTCATATTCGTTTTTCGTAAATGGTTTTGTTATAAATTTGGCCGATAGTTTTCTCAATTGAATTGTTTCATATTTTTTATTTTGGGTCCTTTTATAACCGACTATACGGTATGGGTTTTTCTCATTGTTGAATGCCGTAACGTTACCTATAATTGCTTACATCCACTTTCTTTGTATTTTTGAGGATAGTTGTCTCTTTGGCAATCATACCACATCTCCTTATTTTTATATAACAAGACATTTCACCCACAAATTTATGAAAGTTTTGCGCCGATTGTTCGTTCTGTCAGTACAAACGTGAATCTTTTTTGAAAGAATTAATTCGGTTATATTTCAGAAAACATAAGAGATAAATGCAATACTTTTTCGATTTTCAGATAAAGTTCATCGAGCCAAACTTTTATGCAAATTTGTACCAAATTATATGGTATAGCCCATTTACTGTACCCTGACCTTGAGCAAATTTTCTCGTTAATGATCAAAATGCAGTTAAATCTTCCCCGAATTTATTCAAAATTTGTTTCGATACTGAAAATTTTAAGCTTGTCAGATCAAATAGACTACCAAAACTCTTTAATAATTCTTTTAACTTCTACCTGGGACTATTATATTATATAATATATTGTTTTCCAGCTTCTACCATACATCAATTTTATCATTAAATCATTTAGTCAATCGCATAAACTTCCCTCGTCTCGAAAGAGGTGTAAAGAAATCTTATTTTGAATGGATCACTAACTAGTTTTAACTAATCGGACTTATTTTATAAATGTATATCAAGATTGTCACATTTATTGTAATCACTATATGTAACATGCACTTTATGGGCCGAATTTATTTTATCTTTATCACGTTCTTTTTATTCGTGTTTTTGACGTATACAATAACAACGTCAAGCATTGAAAAGCAGACATATATTAAACTGCATATTGTTTATAAAACATGGGGAAGTTTTGGGATACGACGGACTCGGGACTCTGAGCTCCATCATAATTTTGCCGTAGGGCTCCAGTCTTCACATTATTGGCTTGTGCTCATTTGAGCATTCTGTTATTAATCCTAACTTCCCTTATAGGGCTACGGGTTCCATTGGAAAGGCTCCATTGAATGGTCTCCAAGCTGCAGAGATAGGGACACTGGCAAACTCAAGATACATATGCCTCGGGCTTCAGGAGCTGCCGTTTGTTATCCCCAGGAATAGTTACACATTAATGCAGGGTTACAGCAATGTCTATCAACAACAAAATAATGGTCTTTTTCATTTTAGAAGCTTGAAGTAAAATTCAAAAATAATATATTGAAGAAAACGAAACAACCATTATAGATTTTTTTAAATATTTGAAGAAACCGATAAACATAATGTCCAAGTCAACCTACATGACGAGTATAAGCTGAAACATAATAGTATAATAGTCCCAGGTATGAGTTCACTGATATGATTTATGTTCGTATAACCTTAAAAACTGTCAACAGTACTGGTCAAAAGAAAAGTTTGTTTTTGTTGACGAGAACTGATGTCACTCACACGGTAAGAATGAAATGTATGGGCATGTGATGTACTATAAGGATGAGTTAAATTTTCAACGTAATTGTGTTTCAATTTAAGTTACACCGTATCACTGCAACTGTAAAAATAAACCTGGCCGGTAACAAACTATACCTTGTAACTATATCAGTCGACTATAAACCTGGCTGGTAACAAACTATAACCTGCCTGTCCGTCGACTATAAACCCGGCCGGTAACGGTCCGTCGACTATAAACCTAGCCGGTAACAAACTATACTTTGCCTGTCAGTCGACAATAAACCTGGCCGGTAACAAACTATACCTTGCCTGTCAGTCGACTATAAACATGGCCGGTAACAAACTATACCTTGCATGTCAGTCGACTATACACCTGGACGGTAACAAACTATACCTTGCATGTCAGTCGATTATAAACCTGGCCGGTAACAAACTATACCTTGCCTGTCAGTCGACTATGAACCTGTCTGCTAACAGACTATACCTTGCATGTCGTTCCACTATAAATCTGGCCGGTAACAAACTTTACCTTGCCTGTCAGTCGACTATAAACCTAGCCGGTAACAAACTATACATTGCCTTTTAGTTGACTATAAACCTGACCGGTAACAAACTACCATGCATGTCAGTCGGTTATAAACCTGGCCGGTAACAAACTATACCTTGCCTGTCAGTCGGCTATATACCTGGCTGGTAACAAACTATATCTTGCCTTTCAGTCGACTATAAACCTGTCTGGTAACAAACCACTTTGCATGTCAGTCGACTATAAACCTGTCTGTTAACAAACTATACATTGCATGGCAGTCGATTAGAAACCTGTCTGGTAACAAACTATACCTTGCCTGTCAGTCGACTATAAACCTGGCCGGTAGCAAACTATACTTTGCCTGTCAGACGACTATAAACCTGTCTGATAACAAACTATACCTTGCCTGTCAGTTGACTATAAACTTGGCCGGTAACAAACTACCTTCCATGTCAGTCGCCCATGAACCTGGTCAGAAACAAACTACTAGTACCTTTCATGTCAGTTGGCTATAAACCTGGCAGGTAACGACAATAAACCTGACGGGTAACAATCTACCTAGCATATCAGTCGATTATTAACCTGGTCGGTAACAAACTACAAAGCATGTCAATTGACTATAAATCTGGCCGGTAACAAAGTATCTTGCATGTCAGTGGACTATAAACCTGGCCGGTAAAAAACTATCTTGCATGTCAGTTGGCTATAAACCTGGCCGGTAACAAATTACTTTGCATGTCAGTCGGCTATACACCTGCCCTAAAACAGACTGACATGTTTGTTCCCGGTCAAGTTTATAGCCGACTGACATGCAAGGTAGATATATTTGTTACCGCAAGGTTTAAAGCCAACTGACATGCACGTATTAGTCGTGATTATTTTAAGTTTATGTGGAACACTAGTGGTGGGTCAATGATATTTGGTATGCAGTTGTATTAGCATTGATACATCTCATTTTCATACAGATTATTTGGCCGCCCCTCAGTCATGGTCTATTGACTTTGAAACTTTTTCTTAGTTTACATGTATAAATTTTTGATTAGGTCAATTTAAGGGGAACCATTAATGGTTGGTCAATGAACTTTTCTTAGTTTACATGTATTAGTTTGTGATTAGGTCAGTTTAAGGGAAACTATTAGTGGTAGCTTAATGATATTTAGTATGCATATGTATTAGTATTCGCGTATCTAATTTCCATGGAGATTGTTTGGCTCCCCGTCAGTCATGCTCCATGAACTTAGAATGTTTTGCATTATTAACATGTTAAAGTTTGTGATTAGATCAGTTTAAGATGAACGACAAATGTAAAGTTAATGATATTTGCTATGCAGTTGTATTGGCATTTGCAAGTCTCATTTTCATGGACATGATATGGACCCCACCCCCTCATCATGGTTAATTGACTTTGACACTTTTACATAGTTTACAAATTTGTGTTTAGGCTAGTTTAAAGGGAACCACTTATTATAAGTCAAAGGTATGCTTATAAGCATTGACATTTCACATTTTAAGAAGGTTGTTGGCCCTACACCTTCAGTCATGGTTCATTGACTTTAGTTTGTTTTGCATAATTTACATGCTTAAATATTGCCATTTTAATTTCAACATTTGCATTATACAATCAAAATTACAAAACGCGAGACATATCTCTGTGTAAACGGTTTATTATAACTTATAAAGAAAAAAAAATGTTTGTATTAGCTTGGGGATCATCTTATTATCATAAGCTGAATTTTTAGTTCAGTCAGGTGGCCGAGTGGTCTAGAGCGCTAGACACATTGCAGGCGCTGTTATCACGATATCCCAATAGCATGAGTTTGAATCCCGGCGAGAGAAGAACAAACATTTATTTCCGAAAATTTGCAGATTTAACATTGTTGTGCTGATATTTAGAGAAATTATGTATATACATATATATATATATATATATATAAGTACGTCTGAACCAGTGGCAACTCTACAACAGATTTATCCATCGGATCACCAGCAGTGATGGTGATACATGGCTGTGTACATTCTGTATAAACAACTCGTCTAAACATCAGCCAAACAATGTTAGATCTGTAAATTTGCTTTCGCAAATTTTTTATTCTTCCCTCGCCGGATTTCAAACTCATGCTACTGAGATATCGTGACACCAAATCGCCTACACTGTATCCGACGCGCTAGACCACACGACCACCTAGGCTTCCGGCCACCGAAAGCTTTATTTTGAAACATAGGTGGTTGTGTGGTCTAGCGCGTCGGATACAGTGCAGGCGATTTGGTGTCACGATATCTCAGTAGCATGAGTTCGAATCCCGGCGAGGGAAAAACAA